TAATGGATTTTTGCCGCAAACTGACCGCCATGTCCCGACATGGGACTCTCTTGCGGCTTGTTCCAAAAAAGATCCTCCTCCAGCAAATGCGCCAGGAGCCTACTATCGGTGCACTGGTGGAGGTCTTGAGTGGCGTTCGGGAGACCACGATGTCGATTGGGGAGGTGCAACCGATGGCTATGTCCACAGGAGAGTAGGCGGAGGAGGGCGCATTCGGGGCACTCGCGGCGAGCGTGGCGTGGCCAATCGTGTCCTTGGCATCGCAGGCAGAGGAGGCATGGCGGGAGCCATCGTCTGTGCAGGTGGCCATGTCCATGGCGGGGCGGATGAAAGGGGGCATACCCGAGGCATCCTTCATGGATGTGGCGATGGGGCAGGCCTCCGTGTCTGTGTCACCCACCCCCTCTATCGCTAGCGGAGCCACTCTGGATGAGTTGCGACCGTTAGAGAGGTTGGCGCTACTTGAGGTTGGCGCGCGAACGTCCTGGTCTCTAGTCCGGGTGGCTGCCCTTGACAAAGTGGTAGAGGAGAGGGAATGGGGGAGCATCCACACAGAGGTTGGATACACGGTTCATGCCCTTACCACCATGCTGAGCTCGATGCGCGACATTGTCACTCTAGTTGGCCAGGTATGATATGACCATGCTTCCGACCCCCATGTTCTCTTTCTGCACCTTTAAGTCTTGTCTTCTTCATAGGTTCTTATGGCCCGTAGCTGCGAGAAGTCCTAGCTCCTTACTGAGGAGGTGCGGCAGAGTGAGGGACTGTTCGCACAGCTTGCTGCCGCCCATCAGGAGGTGGCTAAGCTTGCCCCTACCTCGCGGGAGGTGGCCGACCTCTAAGTCAGGGAGAACGACGCTCGTGATGATGCTCGTGAGGCCGAGGAGAAGCACACGAACCTGATAGAGAGGGCGCGCACGGACACCGTGGAGGCCAAATGGCTACGGAAGGAGTGGGACGATTTGCTCTGGGCCATAGAGGAGCTCCACACGGGGACTGAGCTGGCTCACCAGGAGCGTGTCGACAGTCAGCAGCGGGTCGACCACCTTGAGAAGGAGCTCCGGAGGGAGAGGGACCTGAAGGTTGTAGCCGAGGGCGTGTCCACTAGGCTCGCCATGGAGGTCAGGCAGCGCTAAGAAGAGATCCAACGCCTAGAGGCCGAGGTGGCCCAGCAGCGCGATGAGGCACGCATGCTTCGGGCGAATGTGAATGGTAAGTCTATAGTTTCCCTTGTTGTCTTTCTCCCTAGAATCCATGGTGAGCCTTCTGACACGGTTGGTACATGATTTGGGCAGGTCTCGATGACAAGCTCGGGGCAGAGGTGGTGAAGAGCCAAGGCCTAGAGAAGGGGCTCAGCGAGGTGAAGGACACCCTCTAGAAGGAGAGCGACAAACATGATAGCCTGCGCGTCACCATCCAGCTGGTCTGCGACGAGCTCGAGCTAGCCCCGGAGCAGGAGACAAGCTCGCTTGCGGTTCACGCCACCCAGATCATGGACCGGGCACGTGACATGGCGAGGGATGTGCTTCACTTTGGCTTTCACCATTCATTCGCGATCGCCCATTCTCATTACGATAACAACGATCTGGCAACGATGAGCTAAGGCTTCGCGCCCATCTATACCGGTGCTGAGCTGGACCTCATCGAGCAGGAGGTGGCCCCTCTGGTGCATGACATTTTTGCCAAGATTGAAGATGAAATTATCCCCCCTAGGGTTTAGTTTAGTCAGATAGGTCAGAAGCATATCTGTAATAAGCGGACAAGTTCCATCCTTTTTGTTTCGTTTGAACAAGTCTGTTCTTTTGTTTTGTTTGAGCAAGTCTGTTCTTTCTCCCTTTTTATGAGTAAAAAGGGGATTATCGCGTTCTGACCCTTCCTTTTGTTTAGACTATAGAGCTCGAGGTGTGAGTGAGAAAACTCTGGTCATGCTGGTAAGCAAGAGTGCCATAGCCGTTGGGGCATAGGTTTCTTGCAATCCAACCAGTTTTGCTCGGCGTTTGGTACCACAAACCTTGCCTCTAGGTTTTTATTGTGAGAAAGGGTCAGGCATGGCGACTATTTTGGAAAGGGTATATGTATACCGTTATCAGCCCCCGAGTGAGACCTGACCCCTTGCCGTTGCCAGGGTCGGGCTTCACTAAAGATCGAGGAGACGATAGCGAAACTAGTAGGAGAAAGCGTTTTTTTATTTTAAAAATGTTATTCTTAGTTTTTGTATGTACCGCCTCCCTAGGATCTGAGCCATAGTTCTGTGACCGTGCATTCGGTCTCCTTGCGAGCCCAACTTTCCTTGAGCCCCCGCGCGTAGCGGGGGTCCGGTCGAGGGTCGGCTCGTCTTTGTGATTGCCACCTCGTCCACGGTTTCCGCAACCGGAGGGGTTGAGCTAACGTCACTTGCCTTGATGGCTCAATTATCGTCCTCGGTGAGCTTGCTAACGGGCATGTCTGTGTGGAATCTAGGTCTATCATTCGTAATAGGGTTAGCATAGCCCTCATGTGGCATTCCATTGCTCCTTAAGCCGCCTCCCGGCAGATGCCCGAGTCATTCCGGAGACCGACTCAGGTGGCCCGCTGGCCTCTCCTTGATGGAGATTCTGTGGGCATGGCTCGAGGTTAGGATCGAACGAGAAGATTGAGATGACCATGTCTGCTTCTGAGTGGGTAAGGCAAAGGCCGCTGGGGCTCATTTGTGTTTTCTCCCCTAGCTCTATTTGATGCGAGGCGGCCTCGAGCCCTTCGTGGGCCGGCCTTCGAACCCCGGTCATTTGTCGCTCATGTTGAATGAGATGACTGTCGCTTCGTGTCATGATACAAAGCGTTGTGATGCAATAATTGTATATGTGATGCTTGGATGTATAAGAATGGATGAATGAATGCTCATGCGCTGGAAAAGTAAAGTGAGGGTTGGTAAAGTTACCTCGATGGCTCAAGTGATGGTTCTGGGAGCTCTTACCAGATATCACTACAAGAAACCCTTCCTTCTATGACAATAAACCTCATGACGGGAGAAATTATTGTCATATAATATATCATAATATGACGCAAATGTTTGTAGCGTCATAAAATTAGGACTGTCAGAACTATATATGACGATTCTTTTTCTTTTGTCACATAAAGGTACCAAGGATCGTCATAAAATGTAATTCTTAGGTAGCAGGCTGACAGTAGCGAATTTATGACGATATATAGAGTTTTTATGTGACGGCAGTAGACCATCACTGAATGTTTTGTCAAATATGACGGCCCCAACGTCAATATACCCCAGTAGGAGCTAGAACTTGGTCTTGGCTCTGGGCCAGCCCAACGCGGGAGAGGGATAATGCGCGGGCAACGTTGTGCTCGGAACTGGTCCTAGGCCCAAGTGAAAAGGAAGAGGGGGCGTGGGCGGAGGGAGACAGGCCAGGCCTGAAAGAGTAAGACCAGAGATACATTTTTTTATTTTTAAATCCATTTTGAGTTCAAATTCAAGAGCTTTAAATTGTTCAAAGAAATTCAGATGAAGAAATGACCAGGACCAAAGTTGCAGATCTCGATGAGTTGTACAACTTTGTTGTTGCTCACTTTTTCATTTGAAATCATTTTACTATGTCAAAATTCTATTCGAATTTATCAAATTTTGAAACTCAAATTTAAAATTACCCAAACGAATTCGGATGAAGATATGACCAGGACCAAAATTGTAGGTCCCAATGAGTTCTACAACTTTGTTGTTTACAACTTTTTCATTTAAAATTATTTACTCTCCCAAAATTATGTTTGAAGTTCTTATATACTGAAGTTCTCATAAATCATATGAACGAGCGCAGTTTTTCTTTTTAATCCATCTCTAAAACTTGTAACTAGTTTTTCTCCCTCATACTAACTTTAAATTCGATGATTTTTTTTTCTAATTTTTTTTAAAATCATTTTCTATCAACTTATTGTGCTCTTACAGCTATTATTTTTTGTCATCTTTTCATGTGACTTTGTTTTATCAATTCAAAATTTGAATTTTCAAAAATAGCAACTTCAAACAACATTTTGAAATAGAAAATAATTTCAGATGAAAAAGTCATGAACATAAAAGTTGTTAGACTCATCAAAATCTATAACTTTTATTTTGATCATTTCTTCATCCGACAATGTGATAGTAACATTGTTCATAAAATTTACTTATCTCTTTTATAGTTTTATGACACCATATGAGAGATATAAAATTTGTGAACAATGTTACTATCACTTTGTCAGATAAAGAAATGACCAAAATAAAAGTTGTATATCTTGATGAGTTCTCCCACTTTGTTGTTGATGTCTTCTTCAGCTGAAATCATTTGATATTCCAAATCTTGTTTGAAGTTGTCATTTTTTGAAATTCAAAATTTGAATTGTTCAAACAAAGTCCGATAGAGAAATGACCAAATTAAAAGTTGTAGATCTCGATGAGTTATACAACTTTGTTGTTTATGACCTTTTCATTTGAAATCAGTTACTATCCTAAACTTGTGTTTGAAGTTCAAATATTTTGAAATTCAAATTTTGAACTGTTCATATAAAGTCGCATGGAAAAATGACCAAAACAAAAGTTATAGATATCGATGAGTCCTAAAATTTTGTTGTTGATAACTTTTCTATTTAAAATCATTTGCTGCTCCAAAATTGCCTTAATCAATAAGAAATAGAAAATAATAAATAATATAAAATAGTAAATAATGAGCTAAACTATCTCTGCGCAACGCAAGGCCCAAGGCCCAGCAACCTCATCTCAGCAACCTCATCTCCATCTCCACCGTTGGATGGACCAGATTGACGGTGGAGATGAAACCTGGCCGAAACCCTAGATCGCCGAGCTCCGGATCGATGCCTCCCGCTCCTCCCCAGGTCTGTTCCGCCTCCACTGATACACTCCCCACTCCCCCAACTCCTTTAACCCCCAGCACTGCGCCGCGCCGTGCCGGCGACCTACCTCTCCACTGGTCCAACTCGAAAGTCCAAACTCCACTGCCCCCTCGAGCGGTTGCTCAATGGCGGGATGTGGGGCGTCGTCGCTGTGGGGCCCGAGCCCAGCGCTGGTGACTGCGTTGGTGGCACTGCTCGGCCTCGGCCTCGCTGCCTACATTGTCGGCCCGCGGCTCTACTGGTACGCCGTGGAGGCGCTCACAGCGACGGCCACATGCCCCACCTGCAACTGCAACTGCGATGCGCGCCCGCTCCTCGACCTACCAGATGGTGCGCCTCCCCCCCCCCCTCGCTACCTCCTCAGATCTTGGCGCTGCCACTCTTCTTAGCCTTCCCTTTGCTTTTGTGCTGCTGTCCTTGTCTGCACTGCGTGCGAGCAGTGCTTACGCAGCTGCGAGTTACTATCGGAGCCCAAGACATTATACGGTCAGTGGATGATACTTCGGTTCAAAGATCTGCACTATACTATTGGTGCCCCTTTTTTTGTCTCACAAGCGAAGATTTTGCTGTGCCCAAGACATGCTAGCTGTTTGCTTATTATAGATGAAGTTTGTTGGAGGGCAGCGCAGATAGCAACAGATTTTTAAATTGGATGAAGTACTGATAGCTAGTTGTTTACTGCTGTACAAATCCAATCGATTTTCATATTTTAGAAAAAAAATCTGTTGCTATAATTGTTGGAGTTAGTATGAGGGAGAACAATGTGTAACTTGTCTGACCTCATTCCATTGTATGTAGCCTTCAATTTTCTAGTCACATGATGTATTGGTAATTGGTATTCACATGACTTAGCATGTGTGGGTGCTACTTATGTAGATGTGATTGATAGATAAGTGTTTCTGCCATATACAGATTAGGTGTTGCTGCAATTGTTTTCGTTGGTGCTAGAGTCTTGTACATGGCTCCATATATGTTTTGTCATCAGAGTTTGCACATTTATCACTTCAATTCTTGTTTGTAGTTACGTCATACCTCCACATAATTGTACACTGAACCATATTATAATTTAAGGAATGGCAATTAGTTCTCCCCAGTTTCTGTATCATACTGCAGATGTTCTCATGCAGTAAACTTTCTTGTCAGTTTAGTACTTACAGTAAGTCCTCATGTTTGTCATATCTCTATGATCATTGAGCAGGATGACTAATAAGTTGTCAGGAAAGTCTCTTTGGGGGCATCATTAAAATCAAGCCTATGAAGAAAAGAAGGTAGACTATGAATCATATCCCCTTCCCTGTTGCAGCTTTATGGTTACAGTACAAGCTTTTTTATGAAACATGTCCTTACTTACTGCATTGAACCTGGACTTGTTTATTTCTCTAAACTCCAAGTTATCTAAGTTAACTGGTTATGTGCATTGGCTGCTATTAACTATTCTCGAACTAAACCTATACTTGATAAGTAATAGATGATTGGGTTTGTTGCTCTATAATACTTAGCCATTTTAAATTTAGCTGCTATTAACTATTCTGGAACTGAACCTGGACTTGCTGCTTGATTATTTAGTAGAAATATGGCTAGTACTTTAATCATTACTAGCACTGCCTTGCTGGTGATTTGAGTCCAGTTGTAAAAGAAATCCAGATTCAGTAAATATATGACTACAAAATGGGGAATGTATGAATAGTCAGCAAAATGGTCATACTCTTGTAAATGAGATATATGTAAGTTACATAATTATTGGATATATGTACTTTACTCAAGTAAATGCCTGGTGAACACTTGTATGACCTTGTTAAGTGGATTCATGCTATGTAGAAACATATGCTTGCAGAGAAGGAAAGAGAACCAGAAGAAGCACTAAAGTAGAAGCTCAGTTTGAGGCAACACTCCAAGCAGAAAGAGAGGAAGCTGCTAGGAAGCACGAACAGTTGGAAGCATAGATTCTTACTCAATAGGCCACGCTTGAAGCAAACCAAGCAGCACTTGAAGAAAACCAAAATTTGTTGCGCTAGACCCAAGAGGAAGTGAGGGAGATGCATACCAAGTCTGAAGAGACTAATGCACTGCAGCGGGCTGTGCTTAAACTTTAGAAAGATTGAGGTAGGTCTGCACGATGTTTCAGTTGATGATGCCTTTGCCTAATCTTTTGCTACATTGTGAGAACACCAAACTTTCTCTGTTTGTTGGAACGACTTTGCGCACTATGTTGTCAAAAACTATGTGCATCTTATTTGCATCTATTTGTATGTTTGACCTTGTGTGATAAAACCTGGTACTAGTGTGATGTTTGAACCTGCAAGCAATTGTGTCTTGTCTTATGGTCTGGAATGTATGTGGATGATGGCTTGGCTGATATGTATGAGCTGTGACAAGAATGCTGGAAACATATGTGTGACATTCGTCATTGAATTAATACATATGGCAATGCCACATTCATCATCGAATGAAGGTAATTTTATGACGACCCACATTCGTCACAAAAGCTTGTCTAAATCAGGGTTTTCAGGACACAATTTATGACGGTTGGCGTATTAGGTGATGAGTTGACCAACCAATATGTGACAGTCACAGTCGTCATTAAATGACAACAATACATGACGACACAACAAAACCGTCACAAAAGGTCATCACATTTTGTGACGGTTTTCCATATTTTCGTCACAAGGTACATTTTGTGACAATCGTTATATGACGACCTTCATGACAGTGGTTTTTCGTCATACCATTCATTTTGTGACAAATTCTATACTTTTCGTGACACTTTCAGTTTGTTATAAAAGCCCAAATTTTTTGTAGTGTATGTTCGAGTGGAATCCGGGTCCGTTGTTTGTGATAGAGTCAGCATAACCCGCATGGGGCATCCTACTACTCCTTACCCGTCTCTTGGTAGCGGCCCGAGCCATCCGATCAACTTGGGCGACCCGCTGGCCTCTCCTCGATGGAGATTTCGCCAGTGGGCCCCTGCAAACCCTTCCTGGGAAGGCGGAAGTGTGGGGGGTATGACCCCGGATACCCACGGCAGACCATATGGGTTGAGCCTCCACGGGTGGCCCTACCCACAAGACGAAGCCTTGTGGGGCACGACTTTACTCGTCGCCTCCCGCAAGATACATCTAAAAGATATCCTGAAGATACTACGAGATCTGCTAGGGTATGTATGATCCCAAGATTCCTGTAATCAGTTATTACTTTTCGGTTATCTCTTAGATCTAACCGACTTGTAACCCCTCTCCCCGGACTATATAAGGCGGGCAGAGACCCCCCCAAACTCACGCAATATCATACAATAGCTAATAGAAACCAATAGACCATAGGAGTAGGGTATTACGCCATACTGATGGCCTGATCCTGTCTAACTCGTGTGTTTCTGTTGCCTTCTTGTTCTTGATCTCACGCTCCTCTGCCGATCAATCTACCTTCATGGGATACCCCTCGGAGGACTGCCGACAATATTCTATCGACAGTTGGCGCGCCAAGTAGGGGACTGTGTGCTGTTTCCTTGTCAAACAAGATGGCTTTTTCCGCAGGCTCTTTGTCCCTCCCACAACCCGGCCAGATCTTCACGGTTGGATTGATCTCCTGGATCATCAACGCTGACAGAGTCGGAGACCTCCTCGAGCCGGTGCAGATCGATTCTGTGCCAATCATCCCCGCACTTGCGATTGTAGATCCTATCTCAGAACCACCTCTAAGGTCGCCTTCATCAGCAACTCGCTGCCCGCTTCCTCGCTACCAGAGTAGGCAGATCAACAATGACGATTTGATCGAGTCCATCGAGTGGGTCGGTCTGAAGCTCGTCGATTGCCTCTCCATCGCCGAATCGGCTCTAGACACTTTGGTTCAGCGCCGACCACCTTCCGATCCAAATCTATCGGAGGCTGCTCAGAAAACTCTCGGAGTTGCGTCTCTGCCCTTCAGGCTCACCAACGTCGCCGCCACCTACCAAGACGCCCTGAGGGGCAAATTCGCTGACCAGGTGGGAGACATCCATCCTCTCACCGACCAAATCACCGACCAGCCTTCATTGGCCGTCAACATGCTCCACGTCAGTCGACGCTCTAGAACGTCCCTCCGGACCATCCCAGAGGAGAATCCAGACTCCGAGTCCTAGGGTTCTACGGAGACCCACGCCGAAACCTTCACCGAGCAACTTCCTCTCCCTCCTTTCCGGGGTGGCGCGATCTTCAGCGTCAGTGTCGACAGCCCCCTCAGAATGGCGAGAGCAAGGAGGAACACGCTGCTCATGAGAACCGGAATGGCAACCATGCACAACGCCAAGCAAATGAGAATGTCCTTGCGAGGGCCGAGCAGCAGCTTGACGCACAAGGAGTACCGCTCCAACACAACCTTGACGAAGAGTTTCTCCGCGTTAACGGCCACAACATCTTCAAGACTCCAAGCACCAATCTGGTAGTGGCCGCCAATGAGCTCGCCCACCTCTCGTAGACGCCTGAACTCGCCAAGGTCGCCGCCATGCTCAAAGCGGCGCACTACCAAGTCAATGAGATCCGCTAGGATCAGAGACCTTCATACTCCACCACTTCAATTCGCCGATCAGTCACCACAAGAACCGATTGCCGCCCAATTCGCTTCACCGACCAGCACCGCGACGACAGGCAACCCCTGTAGGGCAGATCGAGGGGCAACCGCGTCGAACATCACCGCCAACGTGATCAGGAGGTTGACCAGGACATCCGAGTGCACCTCAATAATCTTCAAGGTGCACGATGACACATCGACAAACGCCGCTTCGGTCGCCATGATGACGAAGTATGCCGCCGCCAGGAGTACGAGCAAGAGTATGGTAACCCGGACTCAGCTCTCGAACCGCTCACCAATGGCAACGCTTTAGACGACGGCGCTGACAACCCCGAGGGGCCCACAGCATTTACAAGGGTGCTCCGAACACTTTAGTGGCCCCATGGTTTCAAGATCACTGGGGTCGAGCCCTACAAAGGAAGGATGAACCTGACACAGTGGTTACAAGCTTATGCAACTACTGTCCACGCCACCGGAGGAGACACCGGTGTCATGGCAAACTATCTTCCTGTCATGCTCATGCCAGCCGCCATGAGCTGGTTTACAAGCCTTGCCCCGGATTCCATCGGATCCTAGGAAGAGCTAAAAAAAGTTTTCACCGACAATTACATGGCTACGTGTACTCGGCTGGGCACCAAGCATGATCTAAACCGCATCAACCAGAAGCCATCCGAGCTCCTCTGTAGCTACATCCGACCCTTCTCCGAGATGAGGAATTCTATCCCCAACATCACGGAAGCTGAAGTTATCACCGCCTTCATCCGAGGACTCCATCACCGCGAGCTTCGCTCCAAGTTCAACCACAAGCCGCCAACAGGGATTGGCGAGATGATCACAACTGCCAGCCAGTACGCCGACAGCGAGGAAGCTGAGATGCGTTTCAACGAGGATGCGGGCAGTCATCGCCCAACACGCCGCTACGACGACCGCCCCGACGACGGATGCCACAATGACCGCCGGTTTGACGACCGTAGTTACCATCGTGACAACGGTCTTGATCGGCCAGAAGGACCCAAGTCTGGCCAAAATCACCGCTGCCGGCCAGACCACATCATCGCCGCTATCACTAAACCTCAGGCCAAGCACAACTACGATGAGCAATACAAGAAGATCCTCAATGGCTCGTGCCCTCTCCACAAGAACGCCAAACACAAGATGAAGAACTACCTCGGCTTGGCTAAGGAGTTCGAGGACAAGAAGCTAGACGACAACGCCAACGACACGACCGGGGGCCACTGACCACCTGGGGGCAATAACAATGCCTACCAGGACCACAACAAGGTGGTCGCCACCATCTTCAGGGGCCTTGCCTCCACCAAGAGCAGAAGAGAGCGGAAGCTCGCTGCACGATGGGTGCTCGCCGTCACTGTGGAAGACACCGCCACCAACCCCAGCTATCGCCCATGGTCCGAGGTTCCCATCACCTTCAGCAGGGCTGACCAGTGGGCGGACATCCCCTACATAGGGCATTTTGCTCTTGTCCTCGATGCAACCGTCCAGAAGGTGCTCTTCAGAAAAGTGCTCATCGACGGTGGGAGCGCTCTAAATCTCCTCTTCGCAGGAGCCCTAAAGGAGTTGAGCCTTGGGTTAGCAGATCTCACAACCTCTGACTCCTCCTTTTGGGGTGTGTTACCTGGCAGGGCCTCCAAACCGCTTGGAGAGATCACCCTACCAGTGCAGTTCGGCATGACAAGCAACTACCGTGTCGAACATATCAACTTCTACATCGCCAACTTCAACACCGCCTACCACGCCATACTTGGTCGGCCAGCTCTGGCCAAGTTCATGGCCATACCACACTACACTTACTTGGTGTTGAAGATGCCTTTGCCTACAGGAGTCCTGGCCCTGCGGGCC